ATGGTTTTACACATGTCATTTTTAGGGCCATTTATAGCTTGCTGTTCGGTGTGAGTTAAGGCTTCGTGTTGAAGACCGTACTTTGACCAATAATGGTTTACTTTTACAAATTGTGACTTGGATGAGAGAGTTGTCTCATTGGCACTCATACTACATCTATGGAAATATATTTATGGTGTGTACAATGCAAATGCGGCTATGCATATTTTCTAGGAAGTTGAATAACTACTACTAACCACAGCGTACATGTACATTTTTTTAATGACTCCTTCCACTATTTCAACCAAGAATGACAATTATATATGAAATGTTACAGTTGGTGAGACTTTATTCCTATAAGATGTGTGTATTTATTGTCTTTATATTTATAAACCAAATCATTTGTGTATTTACCTTTTCAACATATTAGAAAATTTCGTATACCCGTTCCTTTTATGTACAGAAATATGCCAAATGTATGCAATTTATATGATCATTTTCTCTCTTATTTTCAACATATATTTTAAATTATGACTATCTATAATAGTTCCGTAACGTTCTATCTGTATAAACCAATGACCAACAAGTTTATACATTTTTATGAAATTATCAGCAATATAAAGAAAAGATTTTAGTCACGAATAATATTCTAGTCTAACGTGTTGGTGTATCCGTTGTCGAAGATGCACATAGACCTAGGTGAACAACACACTCTCTTTATAGAACATCTAGTTTTTAGTTTCGCAAAATTTGGGTTATTATCAAATTCTGTTGAAGGATTTATTGTTGTTAGTTAATGTACATGTTCAGTTGCAAATACTACATGCACATTGAGGACAAAATCGGTGAAATATAGTAACTGGCAAAACTATTCAGGCATCTCCACGTAAAATAAATCTTCATGGAATGCTACCTATACTAAAAAAACACTTATATACGATTTTCGAAGGTTTTTGTTTATGTAATTGTGAGCCTCTGTCTGTCTGTCTGTCTGTCTGTCTGCTTGTCTGTCTGTCTGTCTGGTTTGTCTGGTCTGTCTGTCTGTTTGTCAATGAACTCCTATTTGGATAGATCTGGAGGACGCATATTTCCGACTTGCTCTTACTTTCATTAAAGAGCTGGTGGTATTCTTAGCCTCAACACCATGTGTTGTTTGAATTTGCTTCTGATTTTTTTCACATATTAAGTTTTGGTTTAGATGGTGTCACAGTCTTGTCTCAGTATAACAATAGGGTTGAGTACAGGTGCCCTGATGGGTCCTCTACGCAGAGAAAATCCCACACATGGAGGCGGGCCTCTATTGGTCACTAAACAATAATGTATACTAGTTCAGCGAAATGGTTGCTACACTTAACACCAAAACATGCTTTTGAACTTCAATTAAAAAACAAAAGCACACAAGATTAACAAAGGATAAAGGTCTCTGCTCTGGAACAGGCGACAAAATGTAATTTATGACTTTTGATATCGCAACCTGCCCCTATACCTTAAGCAAATGAGGAATAAACAACCACACTGCATAAAACAGGAGGAGAACATATAAAAATTATTTTCTTTTCTTTGGATTTGTTCCCAAATAGATTTTTTCTCCCATAGGATATTTCTTTCTCCCATAGAATATTTCTTTCTCCCATAGGAGATTTCTTTCTCCCATAGGAGATTTCTTTCTCCCATAGGAGATTTTTCTCTCTTATGATTTGCTTTAATCTCCCATAGGATTTTTATTCTCCCTTAGGATTTATTTTTAACCCTTAGGATTTTTTTTATCCCACAGGATATTTTTTCTGCAATGAAATCCCTTAGGATTTTTATTAATCCTATCGGATATTTTTTATCCCACAGGATTATTTTATAAGACAAATATCCTATAGGATAAAAAATATCCTGTAGGAAATGCTTTTATTTCTCCTAAGGGATTGTTTTAGTCCTAAGGGAGAAAATATATCCTGTAGGATATTTTTATTCTCCTAAGGGATTGTGACTTTATCCTATAGTATTTCTCGCGGAAAACGAGACATAGGGATTCCTTTTCCGGCGACGACGACGGCGATGACGTCGACAATGATGACGTCAACAATTGTTAAGTTTTCTGCTTAACCCTCTTGCTGCCGGAGGGACACATGTGTCCACACCGACTGTGCCGGAGGGACACATATGTCCATGTTTTAATTTATGCAAGCTTCTCCTCATTGCTGTGTCTTTATCAAATAAAAGACCAAATATTAAACTGTGTAATATTTTTCTTCAATGGGTCCCAAATGTCCGGTCTTGTTGGTGTGACGTCACATATCGAATGACGTCATTGTTGGACATCTGACGTCACAGACGTCGAGCTGTCATATTTTCTGGCACACGAAATGCAACCTTGAAAAACAACTGGCAGCAAGAGGGTTAAGTTAGTTTGATAGGAACTTCTTGTGATAGATCATTGATAATTAATACAAAGTTGCATTACTATCAGTACAATTCAATTTGACAACTATTTTGCGGCGCTGACCCCTAGGTCATGGTCCAGTGACTTTAAATTTATTAGCAATTTTCAATGTTAAAGATTTCTGCTTAAGTTAGTTTGATAGGATCTACTTGTGATAGATCAATGCAGTTCTGTATGAAGTTGCATTACTATCAGTACATATCAGTTTGACGACTATTTTGATGCCCTGCCCCCTAGTACATGGTCCAGTGACTTTGAATTAATTAGCAATTTTCAATGTTAAGTTTTCTGCTGAAGTTCGATTGATAGAAACTACTTACAATAGACAACGATATTTTCTATAAAGGTACATTACTGTCTGTACATATCAGTTTGTCGATCATTTCTAGGCCCTGCCCACAAGATCATGGTCCAGTGACTTTGAAATAATAAGCAATGTTGCTGTCCATCAGATTGTCTTTTTCTGAATTTGATGCCGACAGGCGAGACATATCTCTGTGTCAACAGTTTATCGTTTATATATTGTTTGTGTCTTTTGTAAACTTGTTTTTAGAGAATAAAGTATATATCGACAGGGACATAAACACTCGTACATGTGTTTACTGTACAATACTAAATAGACTAAACGTACTCAAAATGGTGACAGACCAGTATACCATAATACGAACGGACTAATTTTCAAAACTGTCAAAATCTTAAAAAATAACTCAATTAATTTCTGTTGCATTTGCCGTGCGGACAAACTAGACGGCATTTGATATAATATAAACTGACATATACCGAGTTATGCCCATCTAGATTTTAGAAACACATCTCAAAGATTCTTTAACTTGAATGTTATATTGCCTCTGTCATCAGTGATGAATGTTACCCAGGAAAAAACATAAAAAAATAATTTCATGGAAATTATTAACTTGCCGACACCACTCCCAGAGAAAGTGCCGAGTCCTGCGCTAAATCCGAATACAATATCTATCAGACGAGGTAGCTACTAATTCGGAAGACATTCGAACCGCAGAGAGCAGAGCCGTTAAGAAGACATAACAAGTTAGGTTTGCATGGGCATTGGGCAAAAGAGTGCAATGATGGAGGGAACAGTTTTACAGTTTTCACAGGAATTTCGGACATACTACAGGTATAAAAGTTTCACAATTTTCATACTTATTTTGAATATAAATCTGGTTAATCTTTGATTAAGGTACATACTTTTGTATTAGACTGAACAACTGAAACATTACATTTCTTTTTGGAAAGTGATTATTACTTCAGATTTTATTCTAGATGTTATTAATTCTGGTTAAAAGATTTCTTTTATAAATGCGTGAACCTCAAATTGTAGTTTGGATAAGTAATACATCAGTTTTAGATAATTCAGATCGTGTAGGGAAGGCAATACACTACATGCTTTCCTAAGAGAGGAGTCGACTGCACCTTTTGTTGTAAACCCTTTAACTGTACCGATCATTCAATCAGGTAACGGTCGTTTAATTTTAGATTTAAGACATGTTTTACAGGTGTGTTATAGTGAGGTTAGAAAACAGTTCTCTAGCTGAGTCTGTTTTTGGTTTATATTTTTAATATTGTAAATCAGGTAATCATCGCATAAATATATTTCCGTATTAAATATATATGGGATTTTTTGGAAGAATATTTCAGTTTGACGACTATTTCGAGGCCCTGCCCCCTAGGTCATGGTCCAGTGACTTTGAATTTATTAGCAATTTTCAATGTTAAGTTTTCTGCTGAAGTAAGTTTGATAGGAAATACTTGTGATAAATCATTGATATTTGATATAAAGTTGCATTACTATCGGTACATATCAGTTTGACGACTATTTTGAGGGCCTCCCCCTAGGTCATGGTCCAGTGACTTTGAATTAATTAGCAATTTTAGATGTTAAGTTTTCTGCTTACGTTAGTTTGATAGGATCTACTTGTGATAGATCAATGATATTTTGTATGAAGTCGCATTACTATCTGTACATAACAGTTTGATGATTATTTTCAGGCCCTGCTTTCTAGATAATGGTCCAGCGACTGAATTAATAAATCATGTTGCTGTCCATCAGATTGTCTTTTTCTGAATTTTATGACGACAGGCGAGACATATCTCTGTGTCAACAGTTTATTTGTCTTGAGTTTTCAACTTCCAGATATATCCTTGGGTCATCATACAATTAAAAGATTTGCCAATATAAGCAACACGAATCTTAGCAAAATTTTAATGCCTATTTTATGAATCCGAGAACTATTTTTTTCAGCTTTTACTTATAATTGGAACGGTAATAATAACTAGTTAGTTCTCTTGTTAATATTAATAATAATTTATTTTAGATAGAAGACGTTCGGTTTGTGCAAGACGTTTTAGAATTTCATTAGATCAATATAGTTTTGGTTGTTGGCAATAATAAGACCTTGATGTTTGCGAACGGGAAATTTAGGTTTCAGACATGATTTGATATGTTTTTATTATTATTTACAGTTTGTATGTAAAGATTTATCACCACAGGGTGTTTTTTATATTCTGTGTATCCTGGACAGCCATAAAGGTCACTGAACTATAGTCACTCGGAGGTCACTGGACTGTAGACACTCAGAGGTCACTGGACTGTAGACATTCAGAGATCACTTAACCGTAGACACTCCGAAGTCACTGGACCATGTTTTAACTGGGTTACGGGAATGAAAATTATTGAGATGTTTTTTCATGTATAGACATAGTGTAATGTTGGTCACTGGACCAGATTGAAATTATAACGGTATGTATCGATTATATATTTATTTGAAGTGTTATGTAATCATAGAAAATCTTTTCTATTGAATTTTGGTCTAAAACCATAAAGTGGCACATCCAGAGCTTCTGCATAACATATTTTACCAGCAACTGATGCATGAGCTATTTCTTCAGTGGATAAATATAACGGTATTGTTTTTTTTAAGGATTTACAAAATGGACAGAAAAGTGTCGAGCAATAAATTGTATTCTACCACCCACCACCCAAAGAAAATGATTTTAGTCTTTATCTTCAACATTTGAAGGAATGCCTCAAAGCATTTAATTAGTATATAAAAGTTTACTTTTTAATGTATCATATGGGCACACAATTTAGTGGCAAACATAGAAAAATCATCGTGATTTAGATTTATTTTTTGCAGTAGTAGTCACCAAGAACAACAATTCCTGCGACTATCAAGAAAAAGGAACCTGTGATTTTATATATCATTAAGTTTTTTATATTCACAGTAGAACACTCAGACTTGCGCTTACTTTCCATGCGTTCTTTAGCTTATACATGTTTGTTCGCTGTAATGAATTATCACATATTAAAGTGAACATATAACTTTTCGTGATGGGTACGTAATTTTTTTTGCCGAGAAAAGCATAACGGATGGTTATAATAAAGGCAACCATGTTACGAAATCAAAGCTTGATTCGTGTTGCTCAGTTACTTTAAAAGTATTAAAGATGTACATGTTTTAATATAGATATGACATCTGATGCGTATATATTTAGATCGATATCGTTCTTTAGTCTTCAATCATTTTCATTAAGACAGGAACATCAACACGACATTAGCTAAATTTGGCTGTAGTGTAACTGTTTTCGGTTTACATAGTTTAGAGCTGGCGAATCTACAGCTGCCGCTCAGTATGATACACATGATACATCTGATAGATAATTTTTAATGCATGGTCACTGGAAATCAGACAGATCTTACGATGGATATGTGTTAGAAAATTTACTTAATCGTTTATCAGTTTCTAAGAATGTTGGAATTCAGCTTTAATTTAGCCTACTTTCTTTGTGCGTCGAGCTGGTCACTGCGCAATTCAGTTTAAATAGGTTGTGTAACAATTGTTGTTATTCGGTTTGGCGGCCAGTATAATTTTATGAGGTAACTGCACGAGTTTTAACTTATTGAGGATTGGGCAGCGACTAAACCAGCACAAGTTTTATAGTTGGGAGTTTAATTTTTCATTTACAACAATATTTTTGTATTTTTGTTTTCATATTGTTTAAGTATCTTAAACATGCTGTTCTTATTTTGTAGATTGTTTTGTTACAGAACACGTGCAGGATTCTGCAAAGCAGTTTCTTTTGTGTTAATATGGACTTTATATTTTAGTTTGGACTTTGAGGCAGAGGAGATATTTTGTATTTGAAAATAAATGATTGAGGTGGTCACTGCGCCATTCAGTACCCAAACATTGTGTTTGTGTTTTATTGTGTTCAGTAAGAAAAATGAACATAATTGTATATGCTCAATTATGTTCACATGGTTTCAAAGTAGCTGGAGCATTTTAGCACATACACATTTTATGTTTGTTTAAACAAAGTGAATTAAAACATAATTTCTGTGAACAATCTGAAAAGGAAATATTTTATAGTTAACTTTTAACAATTCGGATACTAAATCCAAACTTTTCACAAAAGAAAAGCATAAACTAATCTCGATATTGAATTTATTGTCAGCTGTTGAAGACGATTTATTTATTTATTTTCAGACTATTTAACATTACTATGGATATTGACGTTAGTCAATTGCCTCGAACATGGAGGAGGGGAGTCAGAAGATGTGGAGAAACTTCTGATAATCGAACCACTGAATCAGAATCCATATACTGTTGAGATAGATGGGGAAATTCGAATAAAATGTGTTGCTTCTGGCTTTTTACAAGAGGTTAAGGTAAGCTTTTAAGTAATTCTTACTCCCTTCCACTGCAATAGTTAAGAAGATTTCGATATGCCAACACTCAACAACAAATGTTTTATCTTTCAAAACCCCAAATAGAAAGATGTTTATCATTTTATATTGTGTATAACTTACATGATTAAGGTTCATGTGGACCTTATGGCTGAAATAGCTGTGTTTACAGCTCAAAATTTACTATGAGTAAAATTGAGTCACCTTATTTATGTTTGAATGTCTTGCATATTGTTATTACAAATAAGCAATACGTAATTTTGAAATAACAATGACATTTGAGAACAGTTTATTTTTTACAAGTTTTAATTGTATCCCGGGTATAATCGCCGCACAGTGGATTTCGGACGTTGCTGCGTATCGAATCGAAGTTGGTAGACAGAACCTCTAAATATTTGTTTTCAAAGACTGATGCCCATAACAGTAAAACAAAGTTTACTGCTTCCTGACAGCTTTGTATATTATTTATATTACATGAACACCTATAATGAATTTAAACAACAAAAAAATCACAAAACGCACAGTCACATCTACTTTTCGATTCCCTATTCTCATGATTTTATTTAAAGTTTAATCAAGTTTGTGTTACACAGAGTCTTTGTTTCGCGATTTTTACAAGTAATTCATACACATGTTTTAATTAGAATAGTCAAAACTAATGAGAATACCGTTGGTATATATATCATTTATAAATGTTTAAAGACTTAACTCCAAATTTTTAGTCTAGTCAAAATAGATGAAATTTGTGGCCAACCTCAAAAAAATTGCAACAGAATTATTTTTGATATTTTTCAATTCTAACAGGCTTTCTTTGTAACATACTAAAAGTCTACCAAGATATCTGAGTGGGAACATGGATTTTTTGGGTGAAAAATAGCAAAACTTGTCAAAAATAGTGAAAAACTGGGAAAAGCTTGTAAAACATTTATTTTGGAAGATAATCATTACAAACCAAAAGTTTTACAACAGTATGTACAGTGTTTATGAAATGAAATAAAAATAAAAAAAATTGGTTTTTTTTACAAACATGAAATTTTAGGTTAAAACATCAGATTTTTGTTGGAATTTGAGATTCGCAAAGCGCGAATTGATTACAAAAACAGACAGGAAAAATATAAAAATGGTAATAGAAGTTCATTTTATATTTCAAAAAAAGACAAAAACCTATATTATCATCATTTCAAAACTTTACAGCCATTCTTAATTGAATAAATGATGATTTTGGGTAAAATATAGCAAAATCATCCAAAAATCGTTAAAAACTGGAAAAACACACATTTCGAGTTTTAACTGTTTTTAAATCATTCCAAAATAGAAAAATGCAAATCTTAATATAATGATAATCAGATCAAACAAAATTCATTATAAAACAATTACGAAAATAACTGATTTTGGGTGAAAAAAGCAAAAATCGCCAAAAATCGCCGAAAACTGGAAAAAACTGATAAAATTCATAGTTTTCAGAAATCAATTAAGATTTTAGTGAAAATCAATTTATATTCTTTATGTGAAAAAGTGCAATGCTTTAATTCATACCATATTAACCAAGAAGAGATTTTAAGCGAAAATCAAAGATTTGTTGACCATAATGAGACGTAAAAAGTATAATTCACAAAAAGGGATATTAATTAAAAAAAGTAAATGGCAAAATACAAGGAAACATTTTTTTTAGATTATTCCATAGTTTTCTGTATACAACAAATATCTATTCATCAGTAAAGTCAGATTCAGCAATGGGAACAGAATTAGAACAATTCAAACCACGACATTCACGGCATCCTACCGAAACACTGAAGACCATTTTTTCTACAGACACATCGTTTGCTTACAGTTGCATCTAATAATGTTAAGAAGTTTATCAGGTGCAGGAGGAAGTTCCATCAAAATTGGACAAAGTTTTCCACGTTTGATTTCCCAACCATAGTCTGTAGGATCCATGTCAACTTCTTCTGACATCCATTTTTGGCACTGATGATACACTCTAAGACTATGAAATTGCCCTGAATCGGATGTTGGTGGTAAACTTTTCACCTGAACTGATGTGTTTCCAGTTATTACTCTGGATGTGAATTTTCTCCAGCGAAGAATGTTAAGTCCTTCAAGAGGAAGTCCTCCATATAAACACGTGAGCGCTTCTTCTCCTGCTTTGATGATATCTGCTTTAATTGAATTGTTATTCATGAAAACTTTACCTTGCATTTTCAGATATTCTTGATTAAGTTTTTTTAATGCGAGTCCTTTGCCTATTCCAAAAAGCCTAGATGTTGAGTCACAACCTGTTAAAGAATGCAAAAAAAGGCAATAAATTACAAACATCCTCCCCAAGAAATCCTTGAGTCTGTTGTATGTTCCATATTTTCATTTTTTTGTTGATTGCCATTTTATCAGATTTGAAAATTACCCTTTTGCACTGCTGATTAACATGATGAATAAGTAACACCAATAGATCCGTATCTTCACCAATTACTACGACTTCTGAAGACAAAGCACAATCCACTGCAGTTTGCGCAATAAGAAGATCTGCATCATCAGTTGCATTTTTACATCTAATGTCATTATCCCTAAGCTTGTCACAAAGCATGTTAATAAGAGCTTGTTTGTTATGACTGTTTGACATGAAAAGTTCCTTTTTAGTTTTGCAAGGCATAGAAGAGGTGAAATTGATGTTCGGCGAAATGATGTCTTTTGTTCTACGCAAATGTGTTAAATCTTTAATTGAAGGAAGTTCTGGATAACTGTCAAAAACAGTTACAGGGTCGTTGTACTTTCTGATTACATGATCAACATACATTTGTGTAATGTCTCCAAATGAATCACCATGTATCCAAGGAAGTCGTTGCAATAGTGATCCACCATCAAGGACATACTGAAAACCCCCACCATCTATTTCATGTATGCAATCACTTCCACATACCCATATCGCATCAGCTAAGTTTGACTTGCATGCCTCTCGAGGTAGTCGGTTGCAATCAAACACAGAAGAAGGAACGCTAGACAATTCATACTGGAATACCTCATATGTGTTTTCAAAGAGACCATTTGCTGCTGTGGTCAGGCGTTGGAACATCAATTGAGGATCTATATCAGTATTTAGAAAGTCTGAATCTGACTTTGACTTAGGTTTTGCTGCCAATGTTATTGATTGGTTTGACTTCTCGAAGCTATAACTCAAAACTTTTTGGCCTTTCATCAGTTCTAACGTTTTATTTCCAATACTTTCCGCTTTATCAACGTTAACATCAGGCTTTGCCTCAACACCTGTTTCAATATTTCTAAGTGAAACATCATTAGTAAAAGGATTTCTTTCACTAAGGTACTCAAGAATCGCAAGAGTGTCTACCCTATCTCGTTCTTTCCTTGCACGAGTAGCTTCTTTGTGCCGATCACTAGTACAGTATCCAACACCAGTGAGATCTTGCATGGCACTGGTGTAGTCTGCACAAGCTGGCATAGATAGTATCCATTGTGCTCGTTGGGATTCACCCATTCCTCTGCCCCTGGTTAGACCTCCAGAAGATTTGACACTTCTCATCAATATTTGTTCTATTGTCAGATCTGTAGAAAGACCACTCCAAAAACGGCCTGTCCTCCTAAGTACGTGGTGTCCTGCTTTAAAATGTCTATAGACATCTGGGTGATCAATTTCAAGTCTTTGCATCATTGACAAATAAACGTAGGCCGATTTGGCATATAGATTGTGACCAGCTGCTACAAAGAACGGTAACATTTCTTGTATGCTACTTAAGTGAAGATCCCAGTTTCCTGTTCGTTCAGCTATGAGAAATTTGCTAAGAATGTTTGTCATGCGGCAAAAGTTCAACCACAAAGACGATGTTCTTGTTTTACACAATTTTTCTTTTGTTGCTACCAGTTTAGTATTTATCTCGGAAAGAATTGAACTTTGTTCGACAGATTCAGTAGTTTCTTCACCAGCAACAAATCGGTCATAGCTCGCATGCTTTTTCAACAATTTCGTCGCATTCACTGGAATCGGCTTCAATTATATCAGATTCATGTGCACTAGGCAGACTGACCCTGAATGATTCCTTCATGAGAAGTATATGAAGTGCGTTTTCCACCATCATAAACCCACGAACAGCTCGCTCTAGATACTGCTTTGCCACTTAGCATATGATTTACCGCATTTGATGCCTATACAGTTTCTAATACTTCATGCAGACCAGAACCAGCTATAAGACGACCAATACTTCCAAGGAAGCTCATTTCAGTGTGAAATCCTCCTAGACGAAGGACGATCTGTTTAAGGTCACTCTCGGTTTTTTCATTTGTGACTATACACAAAGCTTTCCTGTACAGAGGCTGATCAAACGTGACAACAGGTGGAATTTGGTATCTATGAGCCTCTTTGCAAATGAATTTCAAAGTGAAATAAATGCAAGATAAATCACTAGGATTTAAGTCGATCATAGGTAGAAATAAGAACGATGATTTACCAGGATATGTTCCTTCCTGAACCATTTGCATATATCCTGACCACCCCGGCATAGGAGAACGCAAAGGCCATGACACTTTCCACAATAAATTGACCATAAATGAACAGTCCACATCTTTATAGTTCATTTTTCTCAGATTACTATACACACATGATGCCATTCGATTTGATTCTGATGGTTTGTAGTAAGAAATGTTGATTTTGGCCAGCAGTGCTATTTGCTCTGACGTCACGTCTATTCTCGGAATAGGTTTTTTACCGAAAGACCCTGGGGTAACTGCTGCCATAATTCCCATTCCATGCAAAGTATTATTTCCATCTAGAGTTCCTGAGTTGTGGTCTACATTGTCCGCTACATACTGCAAAAAGCTCTCGGCAACGAAATTAGGAATGTCATTTCCTTTTTCTGCAGCTGCACAACATTCAAATTTTTGAATTTCAGTATATGAAGAACAAAATCCTAGGCTATTCAAAGTATCAATCAGAAATCTGGACGAAAAATTGTGATGTAACTGAACTCCTAATGCTA